CAAATCTTGATTTAGGACTTAAATTACAGACAATCCACCATTTATTCTAGTTCAGACCAGCAAGTGACCTGTGCCCCATGGCGCAGAGGAAGGCAAAAAAGCCCTATGATCTTTGTCAATCTGACTTGGGGGGAAATTCCTTCCCAACCCCAAATATGGTGATCCTGAGCATGTGGGTGAGACCCATCAGCCAGACACATGGGAAAGAATTCTCTGTAGTAACTCAGAGCCCTCCCCATTTAGTATCCCATCTCTGGCCATTGGAGATAGTCCTAATAGCTGTCACAGATGGGCCATATGACATTGTAGGCAACCTCATCATACCACCCCCTCCATAAACTTATCAAGCTCAGTCTGGAAACAGTTTTTTTTTTTTGCCTTCACTACTGCACTTGGAAGGCTGTTTCAGAACTTCATTTCTCTCATGGTAACCTTTGTCTAATTTCAAGCCTAAAATTATTGACGGCCACCTTATATCCATTTCTTCTTGTGCCAACATTGGCCCTTAACTGAAATAGCTCCTCTCCCTCCTGGGTGTTCATCCCACTGATGTATTTATAAAGAGCAACCATATCTCCCCATAGCCTTTGTTTTGTTAGGCTAAACAAGCCAAGCTCAATAAGTCTCCTTTTGTAAGGGAGATTTTCATAAGAATGGCCATACTGGGTCAGACCAAAGGTCCATCTAGCCCAGGATCCTGTCTTCTGACGGTGGCCAATGCCAATTCAGAGGGAATGAACAGAACAGGTAATCATCAAGTGATCCATCCCTTGTCGCCCATTCCCAGCTTCTGGTAAACTGAGGCTAGGGACACCATCCCTGCCCATCCTAGTTAATAGCCATTGATGGACCGATCCTCCAGGAATTTATCTAGTTGGTTTTTTTTTTTTAACCCTGTTATATTCTTGGCCTTCACAACATCCTCTGGCAAAGAGTTCCACAGGTTGACTGTGCGTTGTGTGTAGAAGTACTCTATTCCTCTGATATTCTAAGAAGCCCTTCTCTGCAGCTGTTCCAGTTTGAATTAATCTTTTTAAAATGGGAAACCAGAATTGAACACAGTATTCCAGATGAGGTCTCACCAGTGCCTTGTATAATTGTAATAACATGTTCCTATCTCTACTGGAAACAGTTTGCCTAATAAAGCTTAAAATTGTATTAGTCTTTTTCATGGCCACATCACATTGGCGGCTCACAGTCATCCTGTGATCGACCAATACACCTAGGTCTTTCTTCTCCTCTATTGCTTCCAACTGATATATCCCGTTTATAGCAACAATTCTTGTTGTTAGTCCATAAGTGCACAACCTTGAACTTTGCACTAATTAAACTTCATCCCACTTCTAATTCTCCAGTTTTCAAGGTTATCAAAATCTTCTTGTATGATATTCCAGTCCTCCTCCATACTGGCATTATCTCCCAACTTCATGTCATCTGTAAATTTTATTAGCACATTCCCACTTTTTGTGTCAAGGTCATTCATGAAAATGTTAAATAATAGTGGGCCCCATCACTGATCCTTGAGGAAATCCACTAGTAGCTTCCCTCCAGCCTGAAAGTTCACTTTTCAGCATGACCTGTTGTAGTCTCTCCTTTAACCAGTTCTTTATCCAACTTCTCCAATTTCACTAATAATTTTCCATGTGGAACTGTATTAAATGTTTTACTGAAATGCAGGTAGATTAGATCTACTGCATTTCCTTTGACTAAAAAATGTGTTATCTTCTCAAAGAAAGATCAGATTGGTCTGGCACGATCTACCTTTTGTAAAACCATGTTGTATTTCATCCCAATTACTGTTTACTTCTATGTCTTTAATTACTCTTTCAAAATCTGTTCTGAGACCTTGCATACAACTGAGGTCATATTAATGGGCCTGTAGTTTTCCAGAGCATTTTTTCCCCTATATCCCTGTTCCTATTAACCATCCTGCCATTGCCCCCAGCTCATTACCCTTATTTAAAAACCAAAGCAAAGTATTCATTTAGGTGTTGGTCAGACCTAGATTATCTTTAATATCCACCCTGTCCTCAGTGTTTAACAGTCCCATTTCTTCTTTCCTTTTCTCTTTTTCACCTCTCAAGTTTCTTTGAATAAGCTAAAAAGATTGAGCTCTAAGCCTCTCACTGTAACACATTTTCTCCAGCCCTCAGATTATTTTTGTGGCTCTTTTTAGCACCCTCTAATTTTTTCACCTCTTTTAAATCATGGACATATGAACTGTATGCAGTATTCTAGTATTGGTCTACCAGTGCCACATCCCTACTCATTACTTCTTTGTTTTCACATACTGGGATTGCACTAGCTCTCTATATTTTATGTTGTCAAAGTGCTCCTAATGTGGACAAAGGTATTCTGGTAAAGCTGCGCTTTGTTCTGATATAGTAAAAGCATATTTCTCCTCTACACTTGAGCAAAACAAACTACACAGGTAACAGTACAGCTTTGCCAATATAGCTGTGTTTATATTAGGGACTTCTGCCGGCACAGCTATGTTGGTCTGAGATCATACCGCTGACTGATGTAGCGATGCTATCAGACGTCTGTAGTGTAGACATGGCCTAAGATACCTAAATCTTTTTCAGAGTCATTGCTTTCCAGGATTCAGTTCCCCATTCTGTAGGTATGGCCTGCATTCTTTGTTCCTAGATGTATGATCTTGCATTTGGCTGTATTAAAACACATTCTGTTTGTACCAAGCTTATCGAAAGATCCAGATTGCTCTGTATGACTGCCCTGTCATCATTATTTACTACTCCATCAATCTTTGTGCATTCCTTATCAGCAGTGATTTTGTATTTTCTTCTAGATCACTGATAACTAGCCTTAAATTCTGCTCTGGAGACCTCACAAATATAGTCTCTGAAAGTTAGTAAAACAATCTACTGAATCACTTGGGTGCACATGACATTTCCAGTGCAAACTACATGTTAAGTTTGCACTGAAATGATTTCTCTTGCCACTGGACTCTTCTGTGCATCCACCTGGGGCAGACACCAATCCTGCTTAATTATTCTTAATAGTGAATTTACAGCCTTTTAACTGAAAACTTGTTTATAATCCTATATCTTCAGGAATTTAAAAGTGTTCAGCTAAATTTAAAGACAATAGGCCAATTCTGGCCCTTGCCACTAAATGCCATGAAGATGCCACCACCAGATGGGGGAGAATTTGTCATAACTGCAATCAGTATCTCCCGTGCTCTAAGGACAGCCTTGATTATGTATTTGCTTAAGTAATTGGGAGTTATTTATTTCTTCATATGGCAAAGACATGAATTTTAATGAACATAATAAAAAGCTCCAATTTCCTTTTTTTCCATTGCCTAAGCTGATTTGATAAGGAACTACAGGAGCATATTACTTTAATAAAAAATAACCCCACCATGAAAAGGAAAAAGTTTTAGAAATACATTTTGAAGTGACAGATCTTATATTTCATTTTTTAAATAAATTAATTATTTGTCAAAACTAAAAAATAGGGAGAAACATTTAAAGCATTTCAGTTATTAAATAGTTATTAAACATTTGGGGTGGAGAAACAAAAACCTAACAGCGTTCCCACCAATATGTACTAGCATTATTAACACCACTAGTGTGCAGTGATTTGGAAATATTGTTTATCGGATGCTGGAAACCCAATAGGTAAGCACAAATCTATTTTGTTTAAAAAAAAAAAAAAGTTCTTATTCTCTCTCCCCCACTCGAAGTAAATTCAGTTAAACAAAGGGATCATTTCTATCAGAAGACAAAGGGAAAAAGCAAGGGTTCTGAGAAGAACCATGAGATTGATTACAGTGGGCCTTATAGTGACAGACTCAGAGAGCTGAATCTATTTAGTTTAACAAAGAGAAGACTCAGGGGTGACATGATTACATCCTCTATAAGTACGTATCTGGGAACAAATATTTAATAACAGGCTCTTCAATCTAGCAAAGAAAGGTATAGATAGCACAATCCCATGGCTGGAAGTTGAAGCTAGACAAATTCAGACTGGAAATAAGGTGTACATTTTTAACAGTGAGAGTAATTAATCATTGGAACAAGTTACCAAGAGTCATGGTGGACTCTTTATCACTGACAATTTTAAAATCAAGACTGGATGTTTTTTCTAAAAAACATGCTCTAGGAAATATACGGGAGGAATGCTATGGCCTGTGTTATAGAGGAAGTCAGACTAGTCAGAGGTTCTCAAACTGTGGTCTGTGGACCACCAGTGGTCCGCAAGCTCCATTCAGGTGGTCTGTGGATAGTTCCCTCTAAGGTGCACACCTGGGCGGCTGCACGTGAGAGACTGAAGGGCCACCTAATTAGTCGAGTCACGCCTGCACGGCTCCACTAATTTAGGTGCCTGGACCCTGGAAAAGACACACATATAAGGTGACGTGGTGGCCTTGGCAGGAAGAGGGGGTAGGTGGGAGGGGCAATGGGGTGAGAAGAGGGGATGGGGGGGGGGAATTTGGGACGTGCAGGGCTGCGGCGGCCAGAGAAAGAGGCGACTTTCCCCAGCTCCAAGGCTGCGACTGCTGGGGAGAGACCTCCCTCTCCTTCCCAGCCCCAGCTCAGGGGCTGCTGCGGCAGAGGAGAGAAGGCATATCCATCGCATTAGAAAGGTAAGACTACTGATATTAAAACAGGAGTTGTGTGCTTTTATTTGTAGAATAAAAAAAACAGTAATTATTATTAAGTTTTTTTAATATAGCGCTTTTATCCAAGACACTTTTCAATAGTTAGCTAACGGTACAAACAACATTTGGAAAGATTATTAAGTGGTCCGCCAAGACCCTCAGCAATTTTCAAGTGGTCTGCAAAAAAAAGTTTGAGAACCACTGGATTAGATGATCCCAATGGTCCCTTCTGGCCTTGTAATTTATGAGCCAAATTTTGACCTGGATTTGCCATACAGTTTTCTTTTAAAACTACTCCCTGTGCAATAAAAACAGTATTTTCTCATATAGTAAGAGACTCACTTCTCAGTGGCTGCTTTCGACTCATACTAACCTTATAAGAACACTCAGTGCACCCAATGGGGTAACCAAGGTTGCAGGTGCAAAGGCATAGGCAGCAAAGTTGGCAGCCTCCCCTACTCCCACTAGAAAAGAAACAATATTAGTACAGAAAAAAAAACCTGTTAGAAGTGTTAAGATGATGGGCACTAGACAGAAGATAAGATGTTTGACAAGAAAGGTAGGTAGTAAAATAATATTTCTTATTATCTACACTAATGTCCAAATGTATTCAAAATTATATATATCTACCAATCACTGCTGGACATAACCAAAATAAAGATATTACAGAGTTAATGCACACACAGGAACAATTTTCAAAGTACTGTATTGGTATATTAAAATGTAATAGTAATGGTAGCAGGGAGGAGAGCTTTTCCACGTACTGCTATTTTCCTCTTTCCATGCAACTCCAGTTTGCATTCCTAGGTTTGTTTAACAGAATTGGGGGCAGGAGGGAAGAGAACAAAAGTCAAACAAGCCTCAAAGTTACCTCAACTAGTCACTAAAGAAAACTCTTTATTCCTCAAGATGCAAAAAAGAGTTTTGGAAAGCAAAAAGAGTACTTTATGAAGCTGAGGAATCCTGGGTACCAGAATGAAATTTGGCATAGAGGTCTTTGGCAGGGGAAAAAGGTTGTCTTTTTTCCCTTGAAGTCTTTTTATTAAAAATTTCAACACCCTGTAACAGGGTCAGCACGCGCCTCTTGTGGGCGCCCCTTTTCTCTGGCCACTATACCTGCAATCACTGTCCTTTTCACAGGGGGCACCCACCTCTTGTTGATGGCCCCCTTTCTTTCTGTTAGGTGTGAGCCTGCTTTTTCTTTTTTTGGTCTTACATAAGGATGGGGCCTGCCTCTCAAGCATCCCCCCAGCTACTGGTTCTCTCGGCTGGTCTTCAGCAGCTCAGCCTTCCAGACAAGCTGCGCACACTGTCCCCCCCCCCCCGGAGTACACAGTCCTGAGTTCTTATCACAGCCCTGGTATGGGGTCACAGCTCTTAGGCAGCTGGTGGTGTTTCAGCAGGCCTCCCTCGGCTCAGTCTTCAACCAGACCAGCAGAGCCCATCTCGGTATCCTTGCTGACCTGGCCAGGTACTGTGCTCAGTCCCCCTGGGCTTCAGCCTGCCTGCACTGACCTTCTGCTGGTCCTGCTGCTCTTCCCACAAGCCAGGAACACAGTCTTCAAAAACCTTCCCTGGGCTTCAGTCCTGTCTGCTGTGAGCTCTCCACAGTGAGCTATCCACAGTACTGCTGCTCTGTTCAGCCAGCCAGTCACCCAGTCTTCACTCCTCAGTGAAGAAGTGAACTTCTCTGCTGCTTGTCTTATATAGGGCCCTTCTGGCCCCTTATTGGTTGCTGCAGCCGCCCCTCTGATTGGCCACTCTTCTGCAGCCACTTTAGGCTGCCTGAAGGATTTCTCACTGCTCTATTCTGGGGCAGGGTGATGCAGGGCCATGAGGCCTTTAGCAGGGGCCTCCGGATCTAGTCCTCCCTGCCACACACCCCTTTTAAAGTTATACACATTGCTCTGTTTTAGATGTAGTTTAGCAGAGAAAGGTAGAAACATTTTTACTGTGACTCACTTGACAGTAATCCTGCCCACCAGAGCCATTCCTTCAAGTAAGAATATCCACCCTGTCCTGAAAAAATAATTTTTAATATTAGAAAAAAAAGTTAAAATGATGCTTCAAAATTCAGATTTGTAATAAATATTTCAAATTCTACAGATTATAAAACTTATTCAAATTTAAATAGTTAAATTTGCATGTGCAATGCTCAGTCTGTAGGGGATATGGAGAGAGTCAGCTACACCTAATTTTGAGTTATTCTTAAAAATATAATTGTTTAATATTAAATTCTATTATTTCAAGTCCTGTATCTTGAACATGAACTTTCAGTATACGCATGAAGGGATAATAAGACTTCATTAATTAGGATTACTCATATGCTTAAAGTAAAGCATATGTTTAAATTATTTGCTACATCAGAGCCTACATAGCTATCTATACCGAGATGCATCTGGAACATGCTTAAAGTTCCATAAAACTTGGTTTTTTACATAAAAAGTAAAGCTGTTACAGCTATCCAAAGCTTTTTCATCCAAAATACAAACAAGTTATATATTGGGAAATCCATTTTTCCTCAAATACTGAGAACATCCAGAATGGTAGGGTATTATATTTTGCAGGAAACATTGCAAACAAAAGAAAAATAGCAAACCAAAACAAACTCAAAACCTTCAAAAAAGGATTTAAGTGATAATTCTAATACCAGCATGGTGGGATTTTCAAAAGCACTTCAAACTAGTCTAATTCTATTCCTATTGACTTTGATGGGCCAACTCACTCTTACTGTAGAGATAATTCCTGTACTACACAGTTGTTAAAAATATTGCCAGCAAGTTAGCTGGTAAGTTTTTATTAATATTCGTTTTGAAGTGACTTGTCCTAATAGCTCTTAATTTACAAAAGTAGAGTTCAGTTCTCTTCAGACTGCTCTAATTCCACATCCTGCAAATCCACAAGTTAGGCACGTATTCAAACACCTACTTTTATAACTGTATTATCATAACTCAAGTGTTTCCCTCACTCATACTGAAAGGGAAGAAACAGCAAAAATCCTTTTTTGGGAGTGGGGCAGAGAAAGAACTTTTAATTAAATAGATTGATTCTTTCTGTCAAAGATAAGCAAGTAAACATTTCTTACCAGCTCTGGTGACTCCCTTGTCAGCCAGTTGCAGAAGGCCCTTCTTTTTCAGTATAAAGCTGGAGCCAACAAAAATACTGGAACTTATTGCCAGGGCCACACCCACATAGAGCCTATATTTGCTTCCCGCAGATGTGGAAACACTCAGGTTTGTTTCATTGGAATGGTTGACTGGATAGGTAAAGAAAGGGGCCTGTGTTTCTGACACATTGATGATCTGGCACCATGCTTCATAAGAGTCACGGCAAACCAAAGAAAGAACAGCACCTGGGGAACAGAGTGAGGGGGAGGGGGGGGAAAAAAAGAGACTTTTCCTCTGTAAGATGCACGACAAAAACAAATGTAGAAAGCATGATACACAGCATTTAGAAAACCATCTAGTCCTCATATTGGTATTTTATATATAAAAATAATTGTAATAAATTGTGACCTGGTGAATGGGCACTAACAGGCCACTAACAAAAGTTTAATTGCAGCTTGACTTGCTCCACCCTTAGGAAAAGAATTGGGGAGGGCTGGAGGCTGCTGGCCAATCACGTTTTCCAGCAGGTGGTGTAAGGAGGACTCCACAGGTAACTACTACAGGTATGTCTACACTGCAATTAAAAACCTGCATCTCGCTTATGCCAGCTGATTCAGGCTCGTGGGGCTCAGGCTAAGGAGTTGTGTAACTGTGCTATAGATGTTCAGGCTTGGGCTGCAGTCAGGGCTCTAGGACCCTGTAAGGTGGGAGGATCCCAGAGCCAGGGCTGCAGTCTGAGCCGGACTGTCTGCACCTCAATTAAACAGCCTGTTAGCCCTAGTCCTGTGAGCCCAAGTCAGATGGCAGGGGCCAGCCGTGGGTGTCTAATTGCAGTGTAAACATACCCTACAGGACTGAAATGGTAGCCCTGTTTTTTTAATTTTGTTTTCTGGTAATTTAACACCAGTTTAGTTTGGGGTGGTTTTTTTATTATTGTTTTTTTCAAGTAAATGTATGGAACAAGAGCCATAAGAAAAACTACAAATGGTCAGGATTTTGGGCGGGGGCGGCGGGGGAGTGGCAGAGTGATGGAAGGAGAGGTATTAATCACATGGTCCATAACTTTGTCTTTTTACAATGATGCTAAGTCCATTTTATTTGTTAAAGATTTAAAGATTTTTGGAATGCCAAATACAGTTCATTTACAGCAAGCTGTATTTGTTAGAAGCAATATTGACATCCACTGGGTACTTTGGATAATGTAAAATAATGAGACAAAACTCTGAACATGTTAAGGATGCACAGTGTCTGTGATCCATTAAAGAAAAATCCCTATTTGAACCGTCACTGAGTGGATGTTCAGATGATCTCTCCTGACCTGTAATCAAGTGTAATTGCTAATTTTAATAAGTGTTGGGCTTACTGAAGGGTGTCTCAGGTTACTCCCCATTCTGAAGCAATATCTACACCCCTGTTTAGGTACAAAGGCACATAGTATAAGCACCTATAAATGGACAGTAAACTCTCTTTTTAGCAGAGGCTCAAAAGAAATATACCATTGTCAAAAGAACTCCTACCCAAAGAGAATGACATCTATCTGTATCAGTTTTCAGTTGATTCTTTAGTTTCCCACCCATGAACAACTTTCATACCATCTAACAATGAACTTTTAATCATTCCAAATATATTAAGTCACTTAGGTCAGTGTAGGAGGATCCCATGTGAACAAAACTATTCCTTCTCAATGACTACCATGAAAAATGTCTTTCATTTATCAAATCAAACCTTTGTTGAGTTTGTAAGATCATAAAGTATATGAAGGGAAGTTGGAATCACAGTATGTGCCAGCGAACAATTGTGTAGATAGATATTAATATCAAGGCAGTTATGATTTCTGATCTAAGTTTAAAAATGTGTGCAAAAAGAAGTGCCACTATATAAATCAAAAGGTCCTTTGAGGGCTGGGGAAAGAAACATCATATAGTCATGATTTCTTAGTGACTCAGTATGCATCACTATTCTTTTACCCACCGCTAGTGATCTAATGCTGGCAGTGGGAAGGAGGAAGATTAGACTGAGGGGGAAAAAGTCAGACAAATGGAGTAATCTTACCAGATCCAACTGATAGGCTTCTTTTAAGGAGTATTTTACATTCATTAAAATGGGTCTCTGAATAGCATCTAGTTCCTTTAATGTCCCCACTACTGGACATTTAAAAAGTAGCCATATGCATTTGCCACGAATATGCCTCCTCACACATAAATACAGGCATCAGGCTTTGACTTAAAGCTCATGACAACAGTAAAGAATTTCTGAGTTAAGCTGCCACTTCATCCTTAAGTTATCTTATTGCTCTCAGATTTCAGCTAATCATGTTATATTAATGAATGTTTAAGCATTTACTACCTGACCTACTAGCCTCAAGTTAGTTCAAACTGTTAATCCTACTTTTCAAACTGGCATCAGCCACAGCTGCGCAGGTTTAAGAATCAACAGTACTACACAAGCTCAAGAGTATCACATGCTCTATTTCAGTGCTCTTGGTCACCCTAGAAGCTGCTTGCTTTATATATTGTTTTAGAAAGGTACTTTTTTAAGATCATCTTTGTCAAGGTCATACATTAGTGTGCACCTAACGTAAGTGCTATATTAGAATTCAAATTTGATCTGTTATTGACCATTCAGAAATCAAATACAAGACAGAAATATGACTTTTGCTTTGCTGATGTCAAACAGTGAATCATTTCTAGGACCAAGAACAAAAACATCCACTATAGTTCAATACTGGCAAGGAACTAATCATTTTCCAGTCTGCTGAAAACTTCCAGCAGATGTTAAACTAGGAGAGCGTATCATTAGCAGATCCCTCTTTAAAAGAACAGAGACATTTTTATGCTGATGGATCCTTATTTTTCATACAAAATTATGGAAAATTACTTTTGCTCATCCTATTATAAAATTCTAATGTGTAGTAGCTGTTATCTAGCTAATTAATTTCTCTTTAAATTAATGCTAGACTGTTTATAATGAAACACTTTTTGCTTAATTTGTAAGAGACCTAAAATTTACTATGATTTAATGAAATTAAGCAATTTATTCCCCACTTCTCAACTTTTAAATTAGATGAAGAAAGCCCAATTGTTATTATATTCATTTATGTCATTTTATCAGTTGGCTACTTTCCCAAAGCTGAAGAAAATTATGAGCAAAACTGATTGTGAGAAAAAAATTAGACAGAAAAATGTGATAAAAATTGGGGGTTCTTTAAGAAGAGTTTATTAGATGCCAAAAGCCACAATTCCATAATGAAGAGAGAACAACTTTGGCTAAAAGCCCATCCAGATTCAGTGGCAAAGTGAAGGCAGCAATTAGAAATAAAAAAAACAAGATATAACAAGTGGCGAAAAAGAGAAATAGGTAGCAATCAATATAAATTAGAATTTATGAAGTGCAGAAAATTGATAAGGAAAGCGAAAAACAGGCAGATCCCTGTTCAAATCCCTTCTAGGGAGAAGAGTAGGCTTCAGAGCCCAAACTGTAATGTTTACGCAGCTATTTTCAGTGTGGTAGCACAAGCCTCTCCCCCTTCACTTATAGGGAGACTGCCTACTTAATTCAGGCTTTGTGAATTGCCGTTTTGTTCCTGTGATTTTTTTAAGTGTCTAAAAGTTAAGTGCTGCAACACTCAGTGTTGTAATGCTTAAGTCAGGGGTAGGCAACCTATGGCACGCATGCCGAAGGCGGCACGTGAGCTGATTTTCAGTGGCACTCAAACTGCCTGGGTCCCGGCCACCAGTCCGGGGGGCTCTGCATTTTAATTTAATTTTAAATGAAGCTTCTTAAACATTTAAAAAACCTTGTTTACTTTACATACAACAATAGTTTAGTTATATATTATAGACTTATAGAAAGAGACCTTTTAAAAACGTTAAAATGTATTACTGGCACGCGAAACCTTAAATTAGAGTGAATAAATGAAGACTCAGCATACCACTTCTGAAAGGTTGCTGACCCCTGGCTTAAGTCCTTCTATGGATCTGGGCCCTGGTGTCCACGTTTTAAAAAGGAGGTTGAAAAATTAGAGATGGTGTAGAAAAGAACCACCCAAATGATTCAATATGCCTTACTGGGAGAGACTTAAAGAGCTCATTCTGTTCTGTTTACCATAAAGAAGGTTGAGAAATGAGTTGATTATAGTCGATAAGTACCTACATGGGGAGAAAATACTGGGTACTAAAGGTCACTTTAATCTAGAAGAGAAAGACACAACAAAAATCAATGGCTGGAAGATGAAGCCAGACAAATTAAAATAAGAAATTTGGCACAAATTTTTAGCAGTGAGGATGATTAACTATTGGAACAAACTACCAAGGGAAGTGGTGGATTATGCATCTCTTGATGTCTTCTAATCAAGACTGAATGCCTTTCTGGAAGATATGCTTTAGCCTAATATATGCTATACTTTAGCCAAACAAGCCTTCAGGCTCAATACTGGGTGACTGAGTGAAATTTAATGCCCTGTGATGTACAGTCCAGACTAGATGGTCTAATGGTCCCTTCTGTCCTTAAACTATGAATCATTAATAGCATTTCCCTCCTTTTTGTTTTGCTTGTTGTTTAGAAGCTGGTAGAGTTTAAACATATTAAAATAGCCTTATTAATGTTATTTAACAATCCTATGTTCAAAAAACAGGATTTTAGATTTACATGACCAGTTTGATGCCTAACTTGCCTAAATGGGAAAAGGAAATCAAACTAGAATAACATCACAAGTAAGAGAGGAAATTTGGAAAGAAACAAAATATATTCCATCATCTTACAGGCAACAAATCAAAATTCAGCCATTGGAAAAGAATGTTACAGCTTGTAAGATTGCTTGTTAGAGCTAATTGTAACATGACTTACTTGTGCTGATATTAACACGATTTTTTTAAAAAAACAAGTTTAAAAAACAACAAATGTAGAAATAGACTAAGTGAAAATAACAGGATAGATACTTTTTTTTAATAAAACTTTAAAAATCCCTGTAAGGTGAGAAAGAAGTAGATAACTCAGGAGAGGGGCCTCATTTGCTCACATACAAAAGTTTCTTTTCCTATTCCTCTAAGCCTTTCATCCATTCTTCAACCCTTTTCCTGTACATACAGGAAATGGACTGCTAACTGCCACATACAATTGTTTATTGTACTTTGTACAGGTCAGGTATACTGCCAGTATCTGTTTATTCAGATACAGGTAATGTTTATATTAGTTAAGTTGAAAGTGATGACTTAATCATAAAACAATGCAAGACTAAAGGTTTAGT